ACAACACTAAACAAAAATAAATTAAATATATAATAATATATAAAACCTAATGTAATACAATATCTTTGCAGCCTATACAACCTCAAGCTGACATCTCCCATCATCGGGATGAATAAACAAGGAGGAGCCTAACATTTTACTTCAAATGTTTTAAACTTTTAAATATTTTAACATTGACGGTTTAATTTGAGGGCAATTTCGGATGGAATGCGAGAGTTGAACGTGCATTCAATATTCCTAGCAAGTGTTGTGCTTTTACACATCGACATCTGTAGCAGCGTCCACGCAGCATATATACTGTGTACATTTAAACAACGCCAGTGTTTTCATGTGTTTGTAATATGTGCCTCTGATGATGGTTTTATTAAACCGAAACATGTAAGGCAAATGTGATAAAGAAGTGACCTAAAAACATTGTTACGCTCGACGGACTTTCTATTGACTTTGTGAGTTGTACTATTATTAAGTTGCATGAAATACAATAAAATACAGTTTTCACATAATATTCGTAGGAAACCTTATGCATTGGTCACCATCCGTATGGGCTATGGCTGTTTAGCGTCTTATGTAAAGTGCCATTTCTATGAACCTGTCTTTACAAAATCTCAAATAGTTTGATACATTTGTGGAGAAACTTCAAATATAAAATTTTATCAAATCAGTCTGATGGATCTCGAGTTACAAGAAGACAGTACAAAGATACTTTACATTTAGTTATTTCAAAATCCCTTAAGCGTATACCAACATAAAATGTTTTATTTTATCTCTCTACAACTTCTGCTCAAAACATTTCTTACCTTGATAAACATTTTGCAAGTTTTGTTCAAGATACACACAGAAAAGCAAGTATGCCATCATGTGAAGTGTTCATTAACACTTCCATTTTGATCAGAATTGGAATGCATCAACATATTTTAGTAAAATCTTCCTAATATCAAATTTCACTAAGACCTGCTCAGTTGTTCTCAGTGTTACATGCAGAAAGAAGGCAGATGGAAAGAATGGCAATATCATATTAATGACACACGAAAGAAATAGTATCTTCCTCACAATATTAATCTCTCATGAAACCTAGGCACATTAATCAGCAAGCAACTTCATCTACATGTTACTGTTTCCTATAAGCCATCACATTCACTTTCCACGTATGACAAAGTGTTGTTTGTATAAATTGCATCTGGAAAATATAGGACAAATAAACAAGAAATTGCATAAAATGTGCAACCTTCTAATTTAGATACAGTATGTGCCAAAATGCAGTACTGAAACTCATGCATCTCGAATGTGCATGTGCGTTTGTCAATGGGGCACAGCTCCAGCCGTACGTGTTCCCAGTAGTGAAAAGGAAGTTGTGTTGTGCAGTTGTTGTTGGAAATGGTTCTCTCAACGAAGGAACAAGTATTCATTGTTGAGTATTATTTCCGCTCATATGGAAGTGGTCGCTAGACAACTCGCTTCCTTGGTTTTGAGCGGCCAGATGTTATCGTCCAGAAATTGCTACATAGTACATGTGTGATGATATGGTGTGCCGTCTAAGCACACAGTATATTTCACTGAGGATGAGGAAGGCAATGCTCTTACCATCACCCAAGAACGCTACAGGGACACGGTGATCAGACCATTTCTTCAAGATTTGAGAAGGTTCTGTCATGCAAGGGACCTTCACATGAATAGACAATGGTATCAACAGGACGTCTTTTCATTTCAGTACTGTATATTTGGCGCATACTGTACTATGTCAACTGACACAACTGTAAAGGAATTATATTTATTGCAGGCTTTTAAGTAGACCATAGACCTAGTAATACTTTATCCAAACAACAAAACATGGCCATAAGTCACTCTTGAACTACAAACCTGGTTATGGTTGCTTAACCCTTTGACGTGGTCATTTAAATTCCGCGGCCGCGGCTCCTGCGGTAATATATTCAGCCGGCCATTTAAATTTTGCTCGAAAATGATTTATTCATCATTGTTCTTAAATTCTATGAGATAGGAACATGAAACTTTTACTAAAATGATCTAAAAAGGTGGTTTTATAACCTTACCTTATAATATGAGCAGCCGGTATCTCGGCAATGGAAGCAGTTTGTTTAGAATTTGAGCAGTGAATGGTACGCTTTGAAGCATGGAACTTTCACTAAAATGATCTTAAAAGATGGTTTTATAACCTTGCCTTATAATATGAGCGCCCTGTATCTCGGGAACGGAGTATGGTACGCATTGAAGCATTCTACTATACACAGCGCTGTCTCACTTCACCACACCAGTACTGCGTATCTCTCATTTGGCTCTCTTTTCCGTAAACCAAACATCTTCTGTGAGGCCTTGCATTCTTCCCCGTGGGGGGANAACATAGGTGTGCAGCTGGACGAAACATACACGACGAACCCCCCCAGACGATTTAAATCCCTGACGAAACATACACGACGAACCACGGCAACGGGTTAACAACCAGACCATAGAAATGGAAAAATAAGTCAAAAAAATTTTACATATAGAGCATTTGTTTCTTATGTGCAGGTTCATAGAACTTAACATCATCCACAGCTTCCCTCTACTGCATAGGGGACTTCACAATATGGAGTTTTAGTTGTATATGAAATTCATTTCTAAGATGATCATATCTGCAGATATATGCGTGTTTTAACTTTCATAACTTCCACTTGCTTCCAGAACTACACAAAAACTCTTACATTTTATTTGACATTTTTATACTGTCCCCATACAAAAATCAAGAGCTATTACACATGTATTTGCATTTATTACCTCCAAGGTCAGACATCGCATTAACATTTGCTCCAGGTACATATACTCTTCATTGCTGTACTGCCTAGCATATCAATTTTTCTTTTCTTGCAGGAAACCGTTGGATACTTGACCTCATACTGCAATGCTTCTGGCTGTGTTCTCCAGTGACAAGATGTCAGATAATTTTAACATATCATCCAGGCAAAATACCAAATTCTGTGTTTACATTCCATGATGCAAAGAGAATACGCATTTATTGTATATAAATTTCAAGTTACAAGGCACCAAAAATAAAAGCAAACATTTTATTAAAACAATTTATATACAACCATAATTTTAACAACATAAAATGGCAATCATATTCCCAGACAAATAAATTAAGCTATACAGTCAAACATATTCTTATCACCAGTCAATGTAAAAGACTACATATTTATCACATAATAGCAAGAATGTGGAAGCCATTCCGTGTGCAGAGGCAAATTCATCACATTGTGTGAAGTAACAAACATTAAGGCTGAATCACTAATGTTTCAGGTTACACTCCAGACCTGATCTGCAATGTCAGTCTGTCTCAGACAGCAAAGCTGAACACTCATGTGCCAGCTCAGCTCCATCCAGTACCACAGTTGTATTTGTCTGGTGGCTGTTCAGAGAGACAGCCATGCACATCACAGTCTAAATGTGTCGCATTCAGACAGGACACTACACATCTACTGTTTAGATGTTGGTAGGTTGGCACTTGAGGCAGCATCAGTGGCAAGATGATAACTGTTCTGCTACTTGCAGCCTCCTTCATATCTCATTCCTGTTAAGAGCACTGATTCATTACTGGAAACCAACGCAATTCCTAAAGTTAAACAGAGTATAAAGAAATGTATGTAGAACATTTTGTTAGAACAACCAGTTTAATAAGTAGTTCAATCCAATTAAGTATACAGAATGAAAGAAATACCTCGTCAGAATGCTGCATACACAAAGGATGAGAAAAATGAAGGCATACAGGTCGGATCTAGCTCTAAATCCACATCGAAACCTTGAGAAGGGACACAAATGCATATGTGCACACATGCACACCCAACCCAGGCTCTCGCCTAATTACTAGTGCTACAGTTCAGTGATCAAACAATACTCAAGGTAGTAGGAACACGATACTCTATCATCCTAGCCTGCCTGCTAGTGTCCCTCACATAACATTGTGCAATAAGTAATCCAGCCATAAGGAGAAGAGTGGGGGTACACTAACAGGAGCACAGGACAGGCAGGCAGATGGAGTGGACAACAATCTGCAAGAGCTCTCTGCCTGGGCTTCACTACAGTGTAAACAAAAATCACTATTTTAATTAATGTCCAGTATTCCTCAGGGTGTCTTTATATGTGAAGCTTCACACTAGACTTCACAGCAACTACCCAACATACTTGCACGTACTTGTGAATGTGTTTCTACTCCATCTGTCAGATGCATTCTTAATCTTCCTGCTTACTTTCATTATGTATATTATTATATAATTATTATGGTACCATGAAAAGCATGTGGATACTGTACACACGCATGATAATGATGTACAGATTGATCTCAACTGTCAATGCTGCTTTTCATTTGTCCTTTATACAATAAATTTTCTTTATAATAGTGTATTTACAAATGCACCCTTGAACAATCTCAGTCAATATTCATTCTTTGATGGTGAATTCTATATTGTCAAGTGAACAATTTCTTCAGTTCTTCCACTTCGTTGTCTGAAACATAGAAGGAAACATTTCCATTAGTTTACTCATATCTGAAACAATTTCTTGATTTTGAAATTTGAAATAACATACATGATATGTCATTGAAGTGCAAAGCTACTTGGATTTCGCATAAATACAGTGGATCCTAATTAGCATATTGTTGTCACATTGCGACTTATTTTACATACATGATGTTCAGTTTCTTGATTTCAATCCAAAATTTCATATAACTACATGCTTATCCATTAGTATGTTAATACAACTATCACACTTTATTCCTGTCCTCACGACAAGCATCCTAATTAGATCTTGCTAAACAGAAGCAGTATGAGAAGAAATTCTTACAGACACACGCAGACAGTTTTCAGCATAGAAATAGTCTTCTGACTGTGGATGAAGATTGGCCTTATATGAGATCAATGACCGTCTATCTCGTTTAGCCACAAAAACCTGAAATTCAAGAGACAAAGAAAAGTCATCAACGTTTATATTTTCACAGATGTGCAGAGGGGCCTGCTGTGAATAAATAGCCTTTTGCTTCGACCCCAAGCATCTCTTCCATGATGCAAACATTATTTGTAGGCTATTTAATGATGGGGTCAGTATCAAGACTATACAGTGTCATATAGTAAGCTAAATGATGAACTGGAAAGGATGTGGAAGGAAATGGCCATGGCCTACTTCACATTTGCCTGAAGGGAAAAAGATAATCCTAAAAAAAAACCCCAGTCTAGACAGCTGGTGTCCCAGAATACACTTGAACAAACCCCCCCAGAATACAAGTTTATGGAGCATTACCTCTAGACCAAATTGTTTGGTGATAATTTCTGTTTCATACTAAAATGAATTAGTAAAAACCAAGTTTTAGCAAATGAGCCACACTTCCACCTTTGCAATAAACGTGACTCTGAAACCAAACCAATTTCAGATTTCACTTTAACATCCCAAGAAGAATCTTGCAATAACAGTTTTTAATTAAATGAAATTATGAACTTAAAAATTACAACAGCAAATACATGCTTCAGAATGGAGCTTAGAATCCCCATTTTCTCTCTAACAATCTAAAATTTTAAATATATAAACTATAATTTCAATCATTTTATAGGTTGCAAAACCTGAATTCTCACTCTGTGGGTAAGAATTTTTTAACACACGGTCAGCAAGCCAACAGTGGATAACAAATTACATTAATAAAAAATATGCATTTCTTAAAAACATTACTTACATTAATAACAGCTTTATGACACTGCAGCTTTTGTGCCAGTGTAATCCGTTTATCAACATTCTCAATGAGCTCCAAGTACTTGACGAGAATGTCTGTTGGTGCTCCATGAGCATGGAGTTGCATAACCACCTTTTCTATAGGCACTGCTGTCTTCAACTTCTTTCCTCCCAGCCAACTCTATATCAAAAATGTAGTCTACAGTTACTCAGGAGGAACTAATACTAAAATCAGAAAACTAAACACTATATAGGGCTCTTAAGCCACTGGGACTCGTAAAAAAGATAGAAAACCACCATTAGCATCCCACAACTTATTATGTAGATTTCAGGGGCATGTTTACAGGATCCACATTCTGAACCTTAGCACTAGAGATGAGATATCAGCTTCACACTCTGGCCACTTTACCCACAGGAAATAACCCATAGTATTCTTCGAACAGGAAGCTGGATGGATTCCAGTGCCACTCTTGAGCATGATGACAGAGAGAAAATTCTCACCCCTGCCAAACAAACTGAGCTATCCCAGATCATACCGATCGATCGTAACTGATTACAGCTGAAATCTAATGATAACAGCAACAGACTCAATGAATATTTCTTACTTTTGTGATGAACAATCCTTCAATGTCATCCCAGGAATGCATCGAAGTTCGCACAGTGAGCACTGTCCACTGAAACTGTAGGTCACTCACGCCTTGCTGTTGGCTCAGGGTCAGCGGAGAGCTTATACTGCCTCTTGGCTCACCCCAATGGTACTGACATGTATATGCCAGGGACGACAGCACAGGCTGTCCTGCCAGAGTGTTGGCAATCTCAGCATCCGCACCAGCAACTGACAACTGCCACTCTGAAATCAAACAATGTCTACCCCTATGTTCAAGAGGGCCAACACTGAAACCAACTGTAACATTAACCATTCGGGCCACTGTGATAGAGGACGAAGATGAAACATCAGAAGTCTAGAATCGAGGATATTAAGTAAAGGACATGAACAAACAGATGACAAAATTTTTTGAAAGGTTACAGAAGAATGAAGTAAAATAATTTTTGATGGCTTTCTTGAGAAGCTAATAATTGTACAGCTAGCTACATAATTCCTTGCCTTTCATGTAAATAAAATTTCATTACAATTTTCACAAGATCCTGCCAATGGTCCCTAGCCTGAGCCAAACGAATCCTGTCTGCACACTCTGATACTATTTCTACAACATTCATATTAATATTGCCCTTACATCTATGCCCAGCTCTTCCAAATGATCTCTTTCCTTCAGTTTTTCTCAGTTCTTCCTCATGCCTGACCAGTTTGTCCTCACTGAGCTCATAACCCTAACATATTCTGTGAAGAGTCAAATTATGAGGTTCCTCATCATCCTTAAATTTTCTCCTGCCTCCCACTACCACTCTCTTTGTTAAGTTCAAACACTCTATTCAAAAACTTGTTCTCAATACCCTCAATATATGTCCCCTACTCTTAATAGGAGAGATATTTGGAAATACACAGATACAATATTTCTCCCTATTTTGAATTGTTTCATTTTTGGTCCGTTACACTATCAATCACAATGTTAATAGAAAGTCCGTCGAGTGTAACAATTTGTAGGTCACTTCTTTATCACTTCTGCCTTACATGTTTCGGTTAGACACAACCATCATCAGAGGCACTTAGTACAATTAAGAAAACACTGTCGTCGTTTAAGATGTACACAGTTATGTTTGTTGTGTGGACACTGCTACAATATGTCGACGTGTAAAAGCACAACACTTGCTAGGATAGTTGAATGCACTATCAATTCTCACCTTCCATCCGAAACTGCCCTCAAGTTAAAATGCCAATGTTAAAATATTTAAAAAAAAATTTTAAAAAATTTAAAACATTTGATGTAAAATGTTAAGCTCCTCCTTGTTAATTTATCCCGAAGATGGGAGATATCAGCTTGAGGTTGTATGGCT